CAATTACCTGAGGTGGACACCCCCTTGTGGGCTTTGTGCACAGTCTTGTTGTAGTTAAGCCTTGATTGTTGTAGGTATCACTGGGAGGAATTGACCTCCAGGCCAATTGTTTGTGAGAATCAGCTGTGTCTGCAGTGGGAGAACTTCTGTGCTGGAGACACCCTTCTGGGGCAAGACTTGCTTCAGTGGGGCTTTGGTACTCACTGAGTGTGCCCCCTGAGTGTGTCCCTTATGGATCTGAGGAGTTGTAATCTGGATGGTCCCACTCTGACCACTGGGTTCACTGGCTCTTGGATCTAAGGACATGCTAATTTAGCCTCTTCCTGAGGCTACCCGAAGGAGCTCAGCTGTGAAGGAATGCAAGCTGCTGTGGGGCTTTGGGCCAGCTGCAGTTGGTTAGGTAATTTTCAGATTGCAAAGGGCCAACCCTTTCATATGCAAAAGCCAGCACACAGCTTGCGCGGGGCGGGGTCCCAGGGGATCAACAGGGCGGAGCAAGCAGCTATGGCTGCTCCTCAGTCCTGCCCTCAGAGGCCCCGCTTCTCAATGTCCCAGTAATCACTGCAAGCACCTCTGAGAGAAAGCCGCCCTCAAGGTCCGACCGATGCCAGACAGTCTAGCCTCTCCCCGTATGAGTCTGGGTCCCCAGAGACTCGCCCGGAACTGGAGTTCAGAGCAGTCAGGAGCTTGAGACTCCCTCCCGATTGAAAAAGACAACCACGTCCTCAGCCGCCAGCCCTTTCCACGTGCGCCTCTGTACCTCTGCACTTTACTTCCACACCGCACCTCCTCTGAGTCTCAGTGTGCTTTTCTCTTTCCTTATAGTTGTAGAATTTCCACTCAGCCAGCTTTCCTGTGGTTCTGGATGATGTCTGTTTTATCTTTTAATTGTATTTTTGAAGTGGTTGTGCGAGGCAGCAATTTCTGGTGTTTACCTATGCCGCCATCTTGGTTTCTCTCTTGACTCTTCTTCTGGACATAGTGGAACAGACTGGATAGGTCGACGTCAGCAGCAGTTTAGCACTTAGGCCGAAGTTCCAGCATGATCCTCTTCCAAACTACATGGCAACCAGAGAGCTCCCAGAATGATACTTCCCACTAGTCATCTTCAAAAGAAACGAAATGTGCTGTCTAGGTATTTTGTCCTTATTCCCTGACCAGGGTCCACACATGATTACTTAGCATTTGTCTCCCATGGTGCCCTGTGTTTGGGTTTCTGGATTGAATCTTCTTTATCTGATGGCCACTTGGTGTCAGAGTGCTTATGTTGAATTTCTTCTCTCCCCATTTCCTCCTCCTATTTCCCATCCTAAAAAGCAATAAGTTGCACTAATTTTTTCATCCTCTAGGGTAGTTATTGTCATTATTAATAGACTCCTGCCCAGCCAGTGTGTCTCAGTTGGGGCACATGCCTGGGTTGTGGGCTCGATCCCCAGTAGGTGGTGTGCAGGAGGCAGCTGATCAATAATTCTTTTTTATCATTGATGTTTCTATCTCTCTCTATCTCTCTCCCGCTCCCTTCCTCTCTGAAATACATATAAAAATATATTTTTTAAAAATAGACTTCTAATATAATATAACTCCTAACTAGGTTCCTCAAACAAGGAGGTTGGAAAACCATTGTCAATTCAAGTGTAATTTATTAATATTATAATCAATAGTGGGCATTAGCTAAAGCATGAATATACTAAAAGCTAAATCAGAACAGAAATTTGAGATTGCATAAGTTATGGTTTATTTCTATTTTGTTTCCCAAATCCAAATATTGTCCAAGTTGTAGACCACTCTTTGATCAGAGGTACTTGAAAGTGAATGTCAACTCACTGAGCTTAACTTTGTAGCTTGAAACTATGAAATTTAGTATACTTGGAAATGCAAATTTATGAATGGGTTTTCTTTCTTAATGGCTACTAATAATGGCCTGTGATTGCTGTAAAACCTTTAGCATGCAATTACCTACTTAATTGCTGTATAAGTAGGGTAATTCTTGAATTTCTAATTGTCTTCCCTGCTAAATCTTAATGTCAAAATAAATTGTTTTAGGAAATGATAAGTGCATTTCCTTTTATGTAGATACTAGAGGCCCAGTGCACGGATCAGTGGACCTCTGCACCGCTGTAGCCTGGCCGTACCTGCCAGCTCGTTGGGCTCTAGCCCACTGTCCGCATCGATCCCGCACAGCACAAAGTAGTGCGGGAAGCAGCAGGCAGCCAGGGAGGAGCTGAGCCCAGGCTGGGCACCATGCCACTCCCACTCATCCTGGCCCCACGGCGTGTAGGGAGAGTGTCCGTGGAAGAGGCTTGCGGCACACAGCTGCGCTCACCAGCCATGAGCCAGCGTTTGGCGCCTGTCTGTCAGCTGAGCGGTGCTCCTGCTGTGGGAGCACACTGACCACCAGGGGACAGCTCCTGCGTTGAGCGTCTGCCCCCGATGGTCAGTGCGTGTCATAGCTACCGGCTGGTCATCTGGTCACTTAGGCTTTTATATGTATAGATAATTTACATTAATTGCAAGTGTCTTTTTATCATTCATAAACTAATCTCTCTCAGCTTTTTGTATAAATATGGAAATATCCTTGCACTAGGCAGTATAAAGGGGATTCTTAGATTCGTGTCTTAAGTATGGACCATCCTCAAGGTTACTGTTAGAAGTCAGATTTGAAATCTAAGTAACTTACTTCACTCTTTCTTCGGGGTCTGAAATGACAATTTACTGCAAAAAGATAGAGTGGTGTTTTAAAATAAGTAATTAACCTCATTTGGAATAATTGAGCGTTCTTAATATAATCAGTGTGATTTTAAATACATACCAGACCCCCAAATCCGCTATCTTAAAATTCATAGTTCGTCATTTGGTTGCTGTAGCTCAGTGGTTCTCAACCTTGGCTGCACATTAGAATCACCTGGGAATCTTTTTAAAATCCTGATTTCTGGGCCTCATCCTCCAGAAATTCTGTTTCTTTGTTACTAATGTTGTGGCCCCACCCCATAACAAAGAAACAGAATTTCTGGAGGATGAGGCCCAGAAATCAGGATTTTAAAAAGATTCCCAGGTGATTCTAATGTGCAGCCAAAGTTGAGAACCTTCGTCCATGAACACCTCCAGGTGGAGTCAGAGGGAAGCAGGAGTAAACCAGTAGTAAAGGGATTTGTGCACTTGCCTTACCTTCCTTCCATCCGCAGAAATGATTTCTGGGACAGGAACCAGCAGGTTTGTATAGACCTGTCTTCTATCCCGTGTGTTTCTGCCCTGTCTGTTCTAACACTGTTCTAAGCTAAAGGATGATTCAGTCTGAATTTCCCTGCCAGGGGCTGTCAAGCTTCTGCAGTGCCTCCTAAGCCAGTCTGTCCTGTGCTGGCCTCATTTCTGAAAACCCTGAGAACACTATGAATGGTTCTATCATCCTTGCATCACCCAAATGACAAACATATAGCGCTGCTTGCTGCTTCAGGTCCTCTCTGCTTCCCCCAGGTTCGGTACAATAAAACAGCTAAACAATGGTAAGCACTGCACGAAACATTTCTTTAAAAAACTGTCATCTCGGAGATTTAAAAACGTACTGTGGTGAAAAGTTTAATTTTGCTTTGGAACTCTGCCTCATCATCTGAGTGTCTGATTTTGGTTTTTCTATTTTAACACTTTCTTTTATTCCCTAGCTCTTGTGGTAGCTGTTCTGCGCTTCATACAACTGAAACCAAAGGTTTTAAACCCGTGGCTGAATATTAGTGGATTGGTGGCCCTGTGTCTGTCTTCTTTTGGAATGACCTTACTTGGTAATTTTCAGGTACTTCATTTTGGCCTTTTTCCACCTCCGTCTCACACTTCTCCTACATGATAATCACAGCCACTGAGGGACAGTCACTATGTGGCCCATATCATTCTGCATGAATCTTCCAAAACATTGCTAATAGTGGTTCCTGACATGCACAGCTTCTCCAGCAGTCAGCCTGTATGGTCTCTCAGCCTGGCCTGCCTAACTCTGCATTACACACTGGAAGGTGCTCACTATGCGTTGGAAATACAGCACAGCTGCTGGGAAAAGTAACTACAAACATCGCTGTTTATTTTCTACAAAAGGTTTCAAAATGCTTTATACTGTCTTTCATCACAAATTGTATCCTGATGTACCTTTCTAGAAAACTAACAGGATCCTTGCCTATTATTAAACACTGAGCTCCTTTTAGGATGAAAGCTCGCATTTCAGATGAGCAAACTCAAGTTGAAAACCCAAAATTTCTCTAGAACACCTATGACTTGTATAAAGATACACTAACTCTTCTTCCCAGAAACTTAGAAGCCCTAGATCACCACGTTTAAGAATAATTTCCTTTGCCAATGCCATCACCCAACTCTTGACTTGCATGGCTTCATTTGCAGAATAGACAAGGAGACCTCTGCGGTGTTATGGTAGTTGTCTGATTTCCCTGCCTCCACTCCCTCCCAGCATCCTCCCGCCTGTGCTGTGTACTTCTGCCAGACACTTAGCTCTTGTCAAACCCCTGATCCTGGACATATCTCCCCATTCTATTGAGTGAAGTCCAAATGGCATAGACATCCAAGAAAATATGGCATTAGATTCTCAGAGTGTCTCTTATCCTGACCCTCAGTCCTGATAATTCATTAAACCAGAATTTTTTGATAGATAGGCAACCCCACCAATTCCTCTAACTATTCTAGGTCTCATCCCATGTCAAGCTGGACCCCAAGAAGCCGTATCCATAGGACAATGAATTATCAGGAGATTTTGGGGAGTTTATCCTATCAAACTCCAAAATGTTAGGGCCCGGAGCATTTTTATTGAGATTTTGGTGGTCTTTCCCTCACCTGTCAGGGCTGCAGTTGCTGGCATGTTGTAAAGAGCCCAATAACTTTCATTTCTCTCAACCAGGACTTGGATGGAAGTTAATGAGTAGACGTTTTGCTCTTTACTAAAGTCCTAGGAGAAACCCAGAGATTAGGTTGTTTTGGTCAGAGCCATGAATGATGATGCTACATATGAAAAACACTTTCTGGAATATCTACATAGAATACACAGGAAACAAATAACAAATTAGTTGCCTGTGGAAAAACCAGGTGGCTAGTATATGGGATGGGAAACAGACTTCAATCTATACATTTTATAATTTTTAAATGTTTGAACCATGTAACTATATATCTATTTTTTAAATTAGGTTAAAATAATAAATGAATAGAGTTTAGAAAACCAATTTCCTAGAAGTAAAAATTGACTTGAAGAATCATTTTTTGAAATAAGTTTTGAAAACATGTCTTTTTAACTATGAGAGAAAAAAAGTGTCATCTTCCAAAGAAGAGGTGGGAAAATCATACAGAAAAAAAAAAAGAAAGAAAAATTTGTAAAAGGAAAGTAATATTGATTTGATACAACCATTATTCACAGCAGTGTCAAATAATAAAACATCTGAAGGCAATGGCAAATCAAAAAAAGATTTTCACCATGTTTTAAACATTATTTTCAAACTTAAAAAAAAACTTTTTTATTTTGGATGGGGCGGGAGAGGGAAAAGGGGAGGGGGAGAGAGAAACATTGATTTGTTGTTCCACTTATTTATGCATTCATTGGTTGCCTCTTGTATGTGCCCTGACCAGGAATTGAACCCATAACCTTGGCATATCAGGATGATGCTCTAACCCAGTGGTCGGCAAACTGCGGCTTGCGAGCCACATGCGACTCTTTGGCCCCTTGAGTGTGGCTCTTCCACAAAATAACACGTGCGGGCGCACACATACAGTGTGATTGAAACTTCGTGGCCCATGCACAGAAGTCGGTATTTTGTGGAAGAGCCACACTCAAGGG